TTAAAACAATAAACAACTTTTTAGAACAATATAAAACTGTTTTAAAACATTGTGTTTTAAAATACTTGCCATCCTTAGTTCCAATCCATCAAGTGTTTATCCGGATATCCATTGTCCGAATATGCGTATCCGAATAATTATCCGAATATTGTCGGATTATCCGGATATCTGATCCGTTTATCCGATCTGGGTTATTTGGATATCATTCAGATAAATGAATGACGGATTTATCCGGATTGGAACTCTAATTTCTATTTATACATTATACGTAGATAAAACACGGTTACATATAATAACTTAAAATTTTCTTATAAAACTCCTCTTTGGGATCAACAAAAAAATCAAATTTTAGTATAAACTACATTTTAACCTAACATTAACTCAAATCTATTTTTTTAAAAAATTTTGCATTATATTGATCTACAAATTATACCCGTGTTTCATATAGCGATAGTGTAAATAATTTAAAAAATGATAAATTTTTGGTACTAGAAATAGCAAAAAATATTTTAAAATAGATAACTTTTATATTTTTGCATCTCAAGCCTTAATACACAATTCGAATCCTCGATGGAGGGAATCGATATCTTCAATAATTAATATCTTTTTGTAATGGTATAAAAGTCAATTTATTCTGAATATGAAATCACTATGTAATTAAATGTATAAGGTTTTCGTAACTTTTATTAATTACTGCTAACTTCGTGATATATACCATAAAAAAAAAATCTAACATTGCTTAAATATGAACATATACTTAAAAATTTTAAAAATACGCTCTACTTAAACCTTAGAATTTAAATTTCGCTTTACTATTAAAGTAATCAACTTGGGACTATATAGTTCGAAAAGTCCAAGTCGATCACTTATCGTTAACTTATTCGTTATGAATTTTGTCTCTCCAATAGTCTTCCCATATCCACGTGACCATACCACTAATATTAGCATATTACTAATATTAGGTCGGGCAAGCTCACGTTTATTGTTATTAATCGAGTAACGCGTAACCACGTATATCTGGCTGTTGCGATAAAATTTATGCCGTTTGCAAAATCAGTTTATCATATTCAAACCAAAACCATCACTCACGGATGTTACAAAAGAAATTCATCTCATGTTGCTGTGTTTTTTTTTATTCACATATTATAAACATGGGTACACTACTAAACCCAATTAAGCTAAACCAAAAAATTAGTTTTTTTTTCTTAAACAAAAATTTTTTATACTACATAATTTTTTTTCTACCACCATTTGATAAATACCTCTACCGAATATTCGATTTTACCCAAGTAATTTTTTTTTTTTTTTTTTTTTAAAAAAAAAAAAAGGAAAAAAAAAAATTATTACTTTTTTTTTTATACAAAACACGCAGTATTTACATTCCATTCGTTGAATCTCTAGTTGGTGACGCCTGACTAGGTATGTTAGGTTGCCGCAAATTACTAATCGATACATTCGATGACAGCTGAACCGGGTTTGCATTCATAAACCCATTAGTAGGCACTACAATATTCTGACGCAAACCTTGGCTTGATGCTCCGTTCGGATGGACTTGTCGAATGCCATTTGGCGTCATTGGTCGAAGATTAATACTAGGTTGAACATTCGTCTGCATTTGACGGACATTTAAATTTGGAACGAAAGCCGCAGAGACCGTCCCATTAGAAATAACTACAGGACGTTGGTTAATTTGTGCCATGTTGCTAGCCACAGAAACTGCACCATTAGACATAAGAAAGCTTTGTCGCATACTGTTTACATTATTTTGCCCATTTGGTGACATCATATTAGTTTGTCTAATGTTTGGATTTGATGCACTATTAACCTGCTGAACGGAGTCGGGTAAAATTCCAAAGGCTTGTAAACTATCTCGGTCAAATCTTGCTAAAGGAAACCCAGCGGCACGTACCATATTATTGTTACCAACAACACCACTTTGGTGTACAAAATTTTGAGCATTCATGTGTCTCAGTAGACTGGTACCGCTATTTGCCTGTACATTACCCTGTCTGAGGTTCGATGATCCATTGGTTGGTACTATGTTGTTTGTCCCGTTATTCTGAATTTGTTGAGAGGAAGAATTTGGCTGGCCGTTCGAACCGACGCTAGGTACAATTATAGTTTGAATTGAAGTTTGATTAGCAGCTGTTGACGGTGTTACTATGTTACTAGCTCTGACGAGCGTTCCACGAGGTACAGAAATTGACTGTCGCATCGCTGAACTATTATTGGTTTGTGCCTGATTGTTTGTAGAAACGTTAGAACTAATTTGTATCTGATTTTGTGTTTGATTCTGAGTTTGATCTTGTGACTGAGGTTGCGTCAGTTCTGGCTGTTGTGCGCGCATGGCATATATTGTACGTTGCATTGCCATCTGCATATTATTTTGGTCAACAAATTGTTCATTAGAAAGTCCTCTAGGATTATTTATGCTCATATGGGGACGTGTAGATTGTACATTAAGATGTGTTGCTTGTTGTGACGGTGCAACAGGACTACCATTAGTAAAAGTCGGTTGCCCACCATTCGTGATAGTTATCCTATGTCCAGAATTAACCAAAGTAGTACCATTATTGATTTTATTTGGATCTATTAAT